GTGTTATTAGTATTCAATAAATTGTAAGTCTGTTTTGATCCTTTATTGTTAATAATTATGTTTTTTTAGATAAGGAGGCAATTTTGGTCCACAAGTTTTTTTTACGTCATTCATACTAAAATTAAATTTTTGTCATCATTTCATTTATCATATTTTTAATTCCATGAAAGATTAAAAAGTTTGCATTAAGCCTGAATATATTATTAAAATCTTCTAATGAGAGAAAAGCACCGTAAGAATCAAACATATCTCCGATATAATATACACCGGCTTTAAACCATGAATTAAGAAATATACTTTTATTGCCAATTAGTAATTTATCGTTATAAAACAATGGTAGTTCTGCGAAAGATTCGTTATTGATAGGATACTTATCTATATATGTAGAAAAAGCATTAAAAGTGTCCTTCCAAAAAACGTTTGAAATGCTTTTTGCAATTTTATCTATGTAATGTTTTCCACAGTGAAATATTTTTTGCATATCAAATTCATTTATAATAATGTTTTTCCAATAGGCATCGCTAATCATTCTTTTGAACCAGCTTATCTTTAAAGCCATTATAAAAGCATTTAAGTTTAACATTTTTAAACCTCCCTCTGAATAGTCCTTAACCATAACAGTATTTTTTATTTTAACATTTCCTTGCCATATAAAATCATAAAACATATTGTTAAGTTTATTTATCATGTTCTGAGGTGGTGATGGTAGGGCTATAAAAAGATGGTTTAAAATTGAAATTAAAAGCGTTTTGATAACTGCGATTTTTCCTATTGGAGTGAGAATTCTCCTTTTTCCAATGATTTATTAAATTTTGAATCTTAATTAATTTATCTTCATAGTTTATATGTATCATTTGTTTCAAATTTACATCAAAAATTATGCCCAGCATTTTGAAATTATGTTGGTTCCATGATAATTTCCATCGCGTTTTTATACTATTTGATGAGTATTTATTTTTTCCTATCCAAATTACTTTTGTTTTATCAAAGTTTACATTTAGTCCAGATATATGAGCAAATTTCGATAACACATCAAGTGCCTGATTTAAGGAATTGCTTGACCCGTCCAATATTAAAGTTGTATCATCCGCAAATTGAGATAATTTATGTTCTAAATTATTTATCTTTATACCTTTTATTTCTTTACAGTTTCTTATCTTAAGAGAGAGAATTTCAGCACATAAAATAAAGATGTAACAAGAAAGCGGGTCTCCTTGTCTGCAGCCTCTACATATAGTTACAAAATTTGACAGAAATCCACATTGACTTACAGCAGACTGTGCGTCTTTATAAAAAATATTAAACCATCGTTTAATAGAAATTCCAAAATTAAAATAAGACAATGTTTTTTGAACAAATGACCAGGACAAAGAATCAAAAGCTTTTTCAAAAATCAATTAAAAGAAGAAGACCAGGGATATCTTTCTCTTCAGTATAATGCATAATGTCGTATATAAGTCTTGAATTTTCTCCAATATATCTACCCTTATAAATCCGGTTTGATCTTTGCTAATTAATTTGTTTAAAGTTTTTTTAATTCTATTTGCAATGACTCCAGAAGCAATTTTATAAACTGTATTTAAAAGAGTTATGGGTCTCCAATTTTTTAAAAATTCTTTTGGTTTATTGTCTTTAGGAATACATGTAATTATTCCCTGTGTTTGAGTTATGGAAAGTTTGCCTGATTCATATGCGTTTATTAATAGCTCTAACGACAAAAACTCCTATCTTTTTCCCAAAAAACTTTGTAAAAATCTGCGCTGAAAACCAGAAGATCCTGGACTTTTATTATTTTTCATGTTATGTAAAACTAAAGTTGCTTCATGATAGTTTATTTGACCTTCTAAAGCATTTGACTCTGTTTGACTTAACAACAGGTGCTTCTATGTTTGAAATAAAATTTTCAAAGGAATCGTCATTTTCATTGTGTATTTTTGCCATAAATAGGTTTTGATAATATTTTTCTAATTCTTCGAGAATTGCTGTTTGTTCTTTAACAATTGTTCCGTCATCCTTTTGAATTTTATAAATAGTTTTAGAAGTGTAATTTTTTTTCTCTAAGCTGCAAAAGTACTGTGAAGGGTTTTCACCTTCAAGAATCCACTTAACTCTAGAACGAATAAGATAGCCCTGTAATTGCGAATCATTAAAGTTATGAAGCTCTGTTTGAAGGTACCGAAGGTGCGTCATTTTATCTTCAGTTAAATCGGCTTCTAAATCATTTATTTCTTTAATGATATTTTCTTTGTTTAAATTAGTTTTCTTCTTTACATAACTACTATATGATATAGATTTCCCTCGCAGTTCCATTAAAAGAGTTTCTAAAAAACAATTGATCATTTATTGTAAATTGAATTTCATTATCTGGAATTTCAGTAATGTTGTTAAAATTATAAAACTGGTAATGCATATTGTATTTTTATTTCGTCAATTTTTTCGTTTATAGTATTTAAATAGTTAATGTCCTTTAATAATGAATTGTTGTGTTTCCACAAGCCTTTGCCATGTTTAAAGTCGTCTAATTTTAAGTTTAATATTACAATGGAATGGTCTGATTGGTAGCTTGTAGTTATGGAAACATGTTCTACAAAGTGGAACAAAGTTGAAGTTATTAAGAAGAAATCTAGTCTTGCTTGCTGAAGAGGCGTGCGTTTACGCCATGTATATCGTCTTAAAGTTGGATAAAACTCTCTAAACGGATCAACCATATCTCTTTGACCAATATTAATCAAAACCGTATCTCTAGCTTTACTGTTATTAATATTTTTATAGTTAAATGTTATTTTCTTCAAAAGAAAGTGAAATTTCTCGGACATGTTGTAAGTGAATTTTGAGTTGAGACTGATCCTGATAAGATAGAAAAAGTAAAGAATTGGCCAGTACCGACAAATGCAGATTCACTCAGATCATTTTTAGCTTTCACTGGATATTATAGACGTTTCGTAAAAGATTTTTCAAAAATAACTAGACCACTAAATGAACTTCTTCCTCCAACGTCAAAGAAAAATGGTAAATCTAAACAAAAAGAATGGAAATGGACAGAAACAGAACAGAAAACATTTGATCACTTGAAGGATATTTTAACTTCACCACCCATCTTAGCTTATCCAGATTTTTCTAAACCATTTGAAGTACATACGGACGCATGTGGGTTCGGGCTTGGTGGAATATTATATCAGAAGCATGAAGATAAGAATAGAGTCATAGCTTATGCAAGCAGAAGTTTAACAAAATCTGAAAAGAACTATCCAGCATTCAAACTTGAGTTTTTGGCATTGAAGTGGGCTATAACAGATAAATTTAGTGACTATTTACAAGGAAATCATTTTACTGTTTACACTGACAACAATCCGCTTACACATATATTGACTAGTGCTAAATTAGACGCAACAGGTCAGAGATGGGCTTCTGCATTAGGTGCATATGATTTCAACATAATCTATAGACCAGGTCACAAGAACATTGATGCTGACGCAATGTCACGTTATCCCCATGAAAAGGCAAAGGATGAAGAAGGTGATTACATCAAACTTGAAAATAACACTGTGAAAGCTATTTGTGGTTGCATACAAGAAGAACCTTATATAGAAGTAATGCCAGCAGCATCAATAAATATCATAGAAGCAACAGATTCTCCAGGAAAACCATTAGCTCAAATTGAAATAAGAGAAATTAGAAAGCATCAAAGAGAAGATAAGCATATTGGAAAATGGATTACAGCTACTATTGACAAGAAAATTCCACATATCAAATATTTTACAAAAGAAGATAGTATAATGAAGAAGAATTTCACAAGTTTCAAAATAATACGAGGTGTGCTATACAGAGAAATATATATCAATGAAGAAAAGATTCTACAGTTAGTTTTGCCAGAAGTTTACAGAAAGACTGCTTTGTTAGGATTACACAATGAAATTGGACACCCTGGAAGAGATAGAACAATGACTTTATTAAGAGACAGATTTTTTTGGCCTGGTATGGCGGCTGATTGTGAAAAATGGATAAAAAATTGTGACAGATGCCTTCGAAGAAAATCGGATACCAACATACGTGTTCCACTTGTAAACATTGTAACTACTTATCCATTAGAACTTGTTTGTATGGATTTTTTGACAGTTGAACCATGCAAAGGAGGAATAGCAAACATTCTCGTGATAACAGATCATTTCACCAAATTAGCTCTTGCAATACCTACAAAAAATCAGACAGCGAAAACAACAGCTGAAGCATTCTACGAAAACTTTATTGTTCACTACGGTATTCCTACACGTATACATTCAGACCAAAGAGGAAATTTTGAATCCACTTTAATAAAAGAACTTTGTGAACTCTTTGGAATAGAAAAGTCAAGAACAACACCCTATCACCCAAGCTGCAATGGAATTACTGAGCGATATAACAGAACGCGTCTCAATATGTTAGGAACATTAGAACCGGAAAAAAAGCCAGACTGGAAAAAACATTTACCTTCTCTTGTCTATGCATACAATTGTACAAAGCATGAAACTACAAAATTTTCACCATTTCAACTCATGTTTGGACGAACTCCTAAATTACCTATTGACTCTGTTTTTTAAACTGCAAGAGAAGAAATAACAAATCAAACAACAACAGAATATGTTGAGCAGCTTAAAAAAAGACTTGAATCATCAAAAGAAATAGTGAATCAGTTTACAAAATCAGCACAGAAAAGACAAAAAGATTATTTTGACAGAAGAGCTAAAGCTTCAAAGATAAATGTAGGTGACAAGGTGCTTGTAAAAATTCTCGCATTTGAAGGTCGTCATAAAATAGCCGATAAGTTTGAAGAAAAGCCATACACTGTAACAGCTCAACCAAATCTGAATATTCCAGTATATGAAGTAAGATCTGAAAATGGAACAACAAAGGTTTTACATAGAAACAAGTTGCTACTTATTGAAACCACAAACTGTGAATTTGATCCAAGTAGTGTACCAGAAACATGTTCTTCAGGAGACAAAGATAAAACAGAAGACAAAATGGTTAAGCCTATTCCTAAACCAAGGAAAAGACTGCAGAAACCTGAGAAAGAAAGTTACGTAAAATCCAGTACTGGTAGATCAGAAAAGAATAGTGAGTCAGAAGAATCAGAAGACGAATTTGTTTTACCAACAAATCAAAGTAAGGACGCTTACACTTCTGAGAAGGATATAAGTGCAACAGCAGAAACACATGAAAGTGATGTTGACATTGCTATTGAAATAGAATCAAATTTAGACGAAGACACAGATATTGAAGATGGAGCTATTGGCTGTCAAACAGACAACTTAGCAAGTGTTGATGATAAAGAAGATGGAGAAACATTAGAAATAGCAGATGATTTGATTGTAGAACATCAACCTGAAGAACAGACTATAAAGAAAGTAGAACATAAGCAGTCTATTGAAACAATAAAACCACCAAAGCCACCTCCTAGAAGATCTGAAAGACAAACTAAAAAACCGAAATGGGCAGAAGATTACCATATGAACCAAATTACTTGTATAAACTTTGATGAGAAGAAATATGCATTAAATCAACTTTTACAATCTGGAATTTTACATACTGTTAGCCCGGAAGTAGCAAATAAACTGTGGGAAGCTGTGATGAAATGATTGAATTGCAATATATTGAGATATCTGCATACTACAGATGTGAACATTTTAAATTGAATTAATGGATATATTCTTTAGGAAAGAGTGAAGAATGATGAATTTTAAGTAAAACTTAAAAATCATACTGATATATTATTTTAAACATTAAAATAATATTTGTTTCTTATTTTCAGAACAAAAAGCTTATTTTTTCATTTGTAAATTGCATTTCTTTTCAGAATTTGCAGGGGATGAATGATTTACATGTTCCTAGAATTGTGAGGACACAATTTCATTATCAGGGGAGGAAAGAGACTATATTATTTAAAACATTTTTTTTTTCATATTTAATTGTTTTGAAGACAATTATAGATGTTGATTTCAGAAGGATAATCTCTGGACGGAATTTATATTTAAAGTATTATCATTGTTGTTATACATGTTTTATTTATTGAACAGCATTATATTTTTTTGTGAAAAATGATGTGACATCATTTTCCGGAGAGGGGGAGAATGTAGCAGTGCTAATATTTTAACATTTAATCATTTTTTAAAATATTTATATTTTTGGTCATGATGTGCCTTTAATGTTTACAGGCATCATTGGTCTTTAATACTAGTGAGAACTTCTCACACATTCCAAGATATTGTACATGTTAAACTATTTATAATCTGAGTTGACAGGTGTATGTTTTCATCCAATCAGATGAGAGTATTCTTATATTGTGATCACATGACCAGGTTTGGTGTGTAGTTTCAAAGTTTTAGAGTTAGAGGAAGGTTGATATTTTGCTTTCTCTTTGATAGTTTATTTTATATTTAAAGTGTTTGGAGGAGAATTGGACTAAGGTATTTATTCTTTTTGGTTTACAGTTGGTTATCTATCTCTAGATTAAATGGTTTAAATTCTATTATGTGTATTATGGGTTTTATATGTCTTGGACTGATTCGTGAGTTGTTTTGGATTTTGTGTAAGAATTTGTAATGGATGATCTAAAATACTATTTCTCCTATTCTTAACATCTTGCATGAATATAACCTTAACTTTACAGCACAAGTCACATACACTGGATGTTAGAGTGATCGATTGTTTGTGGAGGAATATTGATAAATAATATAGAAGACGGTACTTGTATCACTCACAAGGTATATAATGATGTTTTGTATTTATTGTGTAAGTTATATACATATTGTACATGTATGTAAATAGTAGATTATAATGAGATGTATTTTACTAAGTGAGAGATGATATGGATTTACAAGTAATATTTATAATGTTTGTATAAAAGAGTAATTAATCATATTTAAATAAGTACATGTAGATTCTTATTTAAATTGATTTATTTGATATTAATATAAGTACAATGATATTGTTGTAATATATTTATGATGCCTTATTTTCTTTTCAGGCCCATTATTGTTTTGTGTTATTTAGATTGTATATACTAAACCGAATAAATATCTAGCAAGAACCCTATTGTGTTGTTTAACCCTGAGACCGTAGAGGCCCGGCTGCTAGACTTTAAGGCATGCTTTTGGATATAAACTTGATTTTCGAAATATTTGGGAAAAATCAAAATGTCAGCATTAGAAAAATTGGATGTTGTTTTTATGCCGCAACCAATTAGCGGTAGAGGGAGTCATGTAGAATTATATTTTTACTTGGAGTACTTGTGACTGACAAATTTGAAATGCATTTCTATGGGCAGATACTCTGAAAGTTGCTTTAATAAACCATCCAGCTCTGAGAAATGTTGAGTGTGCTGTCTGCGGGCACGTTTTGTTTTAGTTTGTAGTAGCTTTTTTGTTTGAAAATGGAATCTATTTTTTGAAATTTGAGTCAATTTACTTTTAACTTATTGCTACTCATTTATGTTTGCAAACATTTTCAGTATCTGACCCTCCTGATGGTTTCCAATCAACAGAGGTCACCAGTCGAAACATCTCTATTAAATGGACTGAGCCTATCAACTCACACAGTGAAGAAATCTATGGATATGTTATTCAGCACTTGTGTGGAAGAAATATTTATAAATTTTTAACCCCAAGTTGCCGGGGAACTTTTTAGGTGAACCTTATTCATGTTTGTTTAGTGCTTAGGTTTCTTTCCAATTTGTAAATAATGTTTTTTTAGACTTTTGTAATAGTATTCCTAGTAAAGGTCTTTTGCAAAAAAATATGTTAATATTGAGATTGACCATGAAAAAAATTGTTTTGCTAAATAACTTGATAAAGACACTGGTAACTATATCTAGCACTTGCATAAAATGTGTTGCAACAGCTATGAATGAGTTAAAAAACTATTTAAAAAGGTGCTGCCTTTTATACAATAACAATAAGTATCACTTTAATTTATAATCTAATTTTTGATCTCAGAATTTAGTTATTTGACATTTTAGGCAATGTTTATCATTTTATTATTCTCTGACCTGTACCTTCACATACAATAATAATTATTATATCCACGTTAGTTGCTGTAATGATGTGTGAAAATCAAAATGCACTTTTTTGAGGGGGGGGGGGGGAGTTATGGATAGAGGTAGGTCAAGCCTAAGAGCATAATTTTCAAGTATCCTAGATTAAGATCAGATCAGGTTGTAACTATGGTTTCCTATTTTATACAGAAACAAGCTGGTCAGAAATTGTTTAATATTGAAAAAATATTTTTTGATCTGAATTATTATTAGATGGACTTAATCAATAGATTAAACAACTTTTATTTGCAGCCTTCCACTTTAGAGCATATGTGTGACAGTAATGTAACAAAGTTGTTTTCTGTAAACAAGCCTCAACTCATTGGTTCAAAGTCATACCAGTTTTTGAATTTCTTCCAGATACAACTTATACTATTATTGGTGCAGCTGTCAACAATTTAGGAACTAGCAATACTGTTGATATAGATATAACAACAGAAGAAGAAGGCAATGGTGAAATTTACGCAAATTTACAATTCTACCAATTATTTCTTCTTTGCATGAACAGAAATGAAAAAAACAAGTTATTTTGATTAGTTTTAAAAAGACCATATATGTTCAAATAAATTGGCACAAATAATATATAAAATATAATGAGATGATGTGCAGTGCGCAACAACTAGGACATTACCTCAAATTCAAGAGAACAATTTAAGTTAAACATGTACGCTCAATGAACTTTTGACTTTGAGAATGTTTTAAAAATATTTCTTAATCTCCGTCATGAGATGATATGCAGAGAAAGATAAATCAAACGTAAGTTTTTAAAAAAAAAATAAACACATAAATACACGCCTTAGCAGAAGATAGAGCTGTCCTAGATACCCATTCAGTTGAACTATTTTTGTAATTTTGATGTACAGTTATTTTAACGTTAGATAAGTTATACAGAAGTCAAAATGATTTTGTTTTTATTTCTTGCGTATGTGTTTGATTTTTTTTCTTTGGTCATAAAACAATATTTTATTGATTTCCTGAGACAATTGTTTCTTTTCAATTTAAATAAGGTGACTTGACAATTCTATTTTTTATTGAAACTATCCGATTATAAATATGATTTTCTCATGGTCAATCTCAACATTAACATATTTTTTTGCAAACGACCTTTACTAGGAATACTGTTACAAAAGTCTAAAAAAAACATTATTTACAAATTGGAAAGAAACCAAAGCACTAATTAAACATGAATAATGTTCACCTCAAAAGTTCCCCGGCAACTTGGGGTTAAACATTTATAAACTATTTTTTCCACAAAAGTGTCTTGGTTTTTCAGCTGAATAACATATCCATAGATTTCTTCACTGTGTGAGTTGATAGGCTCAGTCCATTTCATAGAGATGTTTCGACTGGTAACCTATGTTGATTGGAAACCACCAGGAGGGTCAGATACTGAAAAATGTTTGCAAACATAAATGAGTAGCAATAAGTTAAAAGTAAGTTGACTCAAATTTCAAAAAATAGATTCCATTTTCAAACAAAAGAGCTACTACAAACTAAATCAAAACATGCCCGCAGACAGCGCACTCCGCATTTCTCAGAGCTGGATGGTTTATTAAAGCAACTTTCAGAGTATCTGCCCATAGAAATGCATTTTAAATTTGTCAGTCAACAAGTACTCCAAGTTAAAAAAAAATAATTCTACATGACTTCCTCTACCCCTAATTGGTTGCGGCATAAAAACAACATCCAATTTTTCCAATGCTGACATTTTGATTTTTCCCAAATATTTCGAAAATCAATTTTATATCCAAAAGCATGCCTTTAAGGAAACAAAGATTGCATGCATGAAAAATGCTATGCCACCGTTTTAATACAACACTAAATAGTAGGAACAGAAGTAGATCATTTTTATATTTCTATACAACGGATGAACAACATATAAACTTTGCCATAATGCATTAATGTGTAATGAATTTGTTGGTTAAGAACAAATGCCATATGTATAATAAATGATTCACGATAAAAGTATTCTCACTTGATAAAATTTAGACTTTTACATAGCTGTATAAAACTTTAAAATACAGTTACACTCACAGTTATTTTTCACAAATACAGGAATAGTTATTTTTCATAAAAACTAACTTTTCCATTAAGCATTAATTTACCTATTTCTGTAAACATAAAATACATTTACAATTTAAAACCATCATTAGAGAAAATGGTAAATATTTAAAATAATCTATACTATCTTTCTTTAAATGAAAAAGGTAAACATTGTTGGAATCATAATGTTCTTATAATGTGCTCAAAACATTTCATAACTAGAACTGCCACTGTTATGGCGTGAATACTCCCGCATACCACTTTGTCAGAATCAACAGTGGAAATTTAGAGCTGCTCAAGGGAAACCTCCCTGCCAATCCGAGGTTACTAAGCCAGTGCATTGCAAATTTATGTATTCTACATGCTTCAAATGTGAAAATGTCAAAACCAATACACTGCTAAGAGGCATTTTTAAGCAATTGAGGGGAATAGCTTTTTTTAAGTCAATGTCCCTGTGACCTTGACCTTTTACCCAGTGACTTCAAACTCGATAGGGGTCACCTAATGGTCATTATCAACATTCATGCCAAATATGAAGACTGTGGTCAAAGGAAACTTAAGTTATTGGGCAGACAAACTTTTTGACGTCAAAGTCCCTGTGACATTGTCTTTTGATTTAGTGACCTCAAAATAAAAAAAAGGTCATTTACTAATCATGACTAATATCTATGCCAAATATGAAGACTGTGGGTCGAAATGTTTTTTTTTTTTTTTTAAACTTTTTGAAGTCAAAAGTCCATGTGACCTTTTTGACCCAGTGAACTTAAAGTCACTATACGTTACCTCCATGAAAAATATGAAGACTGTGGGTCAAAGGAATCTTAAATTATTAGACAGACAAACTTTTATAGTCAAGGCCCCTCTGACCTTGACCTTTGACCCAGTGACCTCAAAATCAATAGGGATCACCTTATAGTCATGATCAACCTCCATCCCAAATATGAAGACTTTGGGTCAAAATGTTTTTTTAAAAACTTTTTGAAGTCAAAAGTCCATGTGACCTTGACCTTTGACCCCATGACTTCAAACTCAATATGGCTCACCTAGTTATCATGACTTACCTCCATGCCATATATGAAGACTGTGGGTCAAAGCATTCTTAAGGTATTGGGCGGACAAACGTTTTATAGTCAAGGCCCCTGTGACCTTGACCTTTGACCAAGTGACCTCAACATCAATAGAGATCACCTTAAGGTCATGGATGGTATTGATCACTCCTGTTTCATTGAAATCATGCCAGCAGTTTAACCTCATGAAAGCTGGACAATATTTTAGGCAAGTTTGCACAGGTGCAAACCCGGGTTATAAAATGGAGAAGGTCGGGCAGCGGGCGGGCGTATGGCCAGGCGAGCGGGGAAAATATTTTAGCAACAGTTTTCTCAGAAATTACTTATCATAGCCTCTTGATAATTGGTATACAGTAGGGATGTCATTTGGAGTCCGGATATCCGATCGTTCGGATCACGATTCGGTGTTCGTAAAAAATATTTCAGAATATTTAGAAAATGTGATAAAAAAAACATGCTTTGAGATAATCGACATAGACATGGTGTTGACACCATATTGTATATTGTACGTATACCTTAGTTTGACAATACAAATCATAATCTCTGCATCCCACAAAAAATCAATAATTACGAGTCAGGTATGACACATGTTAATACATGTATATATTAAACACCAAACAAATTTAAGTTTTGTAGGATTTAAGATGATTATTCATCGGCAACGATATTACATTTATATGTCCAAATTTAATTAGGCTTTTATTTTTATATATACTTCTGCTTACCGACCCGTCGACTCCTTATTTTGAGAAAATGAAAAATCTGCAGAAATAAAATAATCAAATCAAGAAATGCACTTACGAATAATAGTATGTTAATTATCACAGCTTTTATTGAAATTGATATGATAATTATCCGGCAAAATAACTTTCTCCTTTAGTATAAATCTAACATGTGCATTTTTTTAAAACAATTTTTTC